GCGATCCCTGTGTTTGTTCGTGCTAGGCTCGTTCAATTTTTTTTTTTTGTTCGAAATCGACTTGCGTTTGAAATGTTTGTTGCATGGTATGTTCATATTTGGTTCTATTTAAATCCATTTCTCATTTTTTAGCTTGCTTAAATTTAGCTCCTATGATTTAAAAATAATAAATTTTAAAATTTTTAAAAATACTGCATACACAATCAATATAAAAAGTTAAAATAAATATTATTTATTTAATTATTTAATTATTTAGAGCCAAGACAAGCGAAATACAATAAAAAAAGATCTATTTGTGTTCAGCTCGTTTATAAATCGAGCTAAAAAAAATTGTGTTCAACTTGAGTGTTTAATGAATAAATCGAACACAAATTACTTAAAAAGTCAAACATGAACAATTCACGAACAAGCTATATTGACAGCCCAAAGGCTCAATATAAAATGCTTGAATAAAGATTCTCCAACTTTAAAATATCATTTAAATGATCAATTTGCTACTTCCATTAGAAAAGATATTGAGTGATTCAGTTTACAAAAGATTAAGAAGAAATATTATCTCCAATTCATTCCCTTGGCCTAAACACATATCCAATACATTTTCACTCTTCAAAGCTAAATAAGTTGAGATACCAAAAATTTCTACAATGACGAGCCATTTTATGAAAAGGAAAATGGTGATTTTTCGATTTTCGAACTAGAGATTGTAGATAATTTTGAGCTTTGCATTCCTCCATAAGTTGCCCTTCAAGTTAATTTCTCCTAGGCCCAAAACGTTGGAGGTTGTAAAGATTCTTTCCATGATAGTAGTAAGCTATATACCGATATTTTGAATTTTAAAGCACATCTACATATTTAAGTTATTAACTTGATATTGCCTATCTTGCATGAAAAAAACCAAAGTGCCAGTGGATTCTAAATTTTATTCCTCGTGACAACTAACAACTTTCATCCCATATTGTTGGCCATAAGTTACTACTTAGGGGTAAACTTCAATTCTAAAATTATGAAGGCTAATTCAGTTTATGTGTTAGCTAGTCCATTTGAAGACTCCACCAAACTCTTCAAAAGAGATTTTTTTTTTCTTGGGGGTGAGGATGTAGAGCAATTAGAACGAATTTGCATGATTAGATTATGTTATACTTTAAAGATGTTACCAATTCCATCTCAAATTGTTTGGCCTCAACTAGAGATCAGCTCAAATACATCCAATTTGATCTCAATCCAAGCCAAATGATGTTATGGACAGGCTCAATCTAATCTCCATTTGAATCATGAAAGACTCGTTAATTTCAACTCAAGCTTAATGCAAGCCATAAATCTATCTCCTTGTTGGAGTTTTCTAGAAATAGCATCTAAAGGTGTGCATTAGGTTATTTCATTTCAACAAATCAATCAAACCAACAGGTTTCGGTAATGATGACTTCGGTTATGTCACCTAGAAAACTGAACTGACAAAATCAATTTAAAAAACTCAAAGAAAAAAAAAAACTATATGAATTTCTTCGACCAAAACATTTTCATATTATGTACAATAACTTTCTCTTAAAAAAAGTGGTTTGTTACAACTACCGCAAAACTTTCTAAATAAAAAAAATTTAAATTGTACAAAAAAACATTATCAAAAACAAAAAATTAGAAGCTTGACAGATAACGCTATCAAAATTTGCAAATGCTAAGGCTTTAAAATTAGAATATATAAAAAAAATGAAGCAAAACATTTTCATATTATGTACAATAACTTGCTCTTAAAAAAACTAGTATGTTACAACTACCGCAAAAATTCCTAAATAAAAAAAAAATTAATTTGTATAAAAAACATTATCAAAAACAAAAAATTAGAAGCTTGACTGATAACGCTATCAAAATTTGCAAATGCTAAGGCTCTAAAATTAGAATATATAAAAAATTGAAGCAGTGCTCTATGGTCAAAAGCTAATGTTTATTGAACAGAAGATGAGAGAAGGAAATAATAAGAGAAATGGCTTCTACCATAGCATAAGGAAAGAAAGCTCAATGGTATGAAAACCTAAGTTGACATTGGCGGCTGATGTTCAAATTGCAACTTGTCGCTTCACTGGACGGAAATCAACAATGTGAGGAGAGGATGCAGGCCCTTGGAGTCTCACGTGCCATAGCATGATAACAAGATGAACTGTCGTAAGAGTTGTTGGAGGTTGGATTTGAGCAAGTATTAACTTGAACCCTTCCAAAAAACAACAACAACAACAACAAAAAAGCCTTAATCCCACTACGTGGGGTCGGCTACATGAATCCTTTTTCTCCGTTGCGTCCTATTTAATGTCATATTTTCATTTAGTACTAATAAATTAGATCATCTTTTATACAATATGCCCAAGCCTTCCTAGATCTACCTCTGCCTCTCTTAACAGTTTCTTAACATAAATCAAACCTAAACATCTACTCTCCTAATTGGATCATCATATGATCGACGTTTAATTTGACCAAACCATCTAAGACGACTCTATCTAATTTTGTCCGTCACTGGAGCTACACCAACCATATCACGGATATATTCATTTCTCGTTTTGTCTCTAAGTGTAAAGTCACTCATCCACCTAATCATTCTCATCTCTACAACACTTAACTTAGTACTACGCTTCTCTTTTAAAGGCCAACATTCAGCGCCATAGAGCATTGCAGGTCTCACTACCATCTATAAAATTTTCCTTTCAGTCTAAGCGGAATTTTTCTATCACACAAAAGGCCCGAAGCATTCCTCCACTTCAAACAACCAACTTAAATTCTACTATAAAAATCCCCATCTATATCACCATTGCTTTGAACAACAAACCCGAGATATCTAAATCGTTCACACCTTTTAATAATTTGATCACCCAAAGTTACACTTCTGCCACTAGAGCTACTACAACTAAAATTATATTCTATGTATTCAGTTTTAGTTCTACTCAAATGAATGTCTTTAGACTCAAATGTAGACCTCCATAATTCAAGTTTTTCCTGGGCTCTTTCTCTCGTCTTATCCATGAGAAGAATATCATCAACAAAAAGCATACACCAAGGTACATCATCTTGTAAAAGTCCAGTAAGACCATCCATAACTAAAGCAAAAAGATATGGGCTTAAAGCCGATCTTTGATATAATCCAACAGAAATAGAAAAATATTTGGTCAATTTTAAACCCTTCCAAACAGTAGGAAAAAAAAATTTTAATCCTACAGAATTTAAATCCTTTTTCTCCTTGTTTTACCTTAAAATCAAGATTTAATAATTCCAGGATTGGGAAAATTTTGAATAAAATACCCAAGCCTCATGAATTTCTTTTCTCCTTCAAGGGTTGTTGACCCAGTCACCGCCTTCTCCACCCTTCAACGAGCTATTCCCACAAATTAATTGGCTTTGTTGTCGTTGATGGTCTTTGTAATTTGGGAAGAATGACAAGTTTTCTGAAGTAGCGTGTCATTGTCAGTTTAAAATCGACTAAGGGGTGCACATCGTCGAGTTTAAATATATTAATTAAGATCTACAATAATCACTAAATTTAATATTAATTCATGGATAGAATAAATTAATTACAATTTAAATTAATCTTAATATATAATGCCAATTAACAAAAAAATCACTTCATAAAAACTAATTATTTGTAATCCAATTTGATACCAAAAAATTTTAAATTTTAATTAGCTTTATAAATTACTAAATAATGATTATTTAGGATATTAATAAGATTATTTAATTATATCTTAATTAACATAATAAGAGTTGATAACAAAAAAATTAATATTCAATCAAATAAATTAGAGATAAAAGCAGAAATTAAAATAATAAATAAATGAAATTTAATTATTAAATTATATAATTAAAAAAATTTAACTTAAATAAATTAATATTATTTTGAATTTAATTTATCTAAATGAAACTTATTGCTTAATTACTTAGAATTTTCTTAATTATTGATTATCATTAATTAATAAATTTAATTAGATAAATTATGATTAATTATACTAATTAAAGTTGGTATAGGTCAAGGAAATATAATAAGACATTACAATCAAATAAAACATGAATTGTACCCAAACAATTAATCTAAATTTAAATAAATTTGACACATATCATATCAAATATCTTTCAAGATTTAGCTCGCATAAGATTTATTAATTTTATATTTATTACATTTATTAAATCCTGCTCGAGTTATATTCTACTATCGACAAACAAACCTATAGGAGGTTGAGAGAAAAGATAATGCATCTTCATAGGAAGATTTCCGATGTCAACACATCATGGGCCTGCATTTCTCTTGAAAGCTTAAACATGGAGGTAGACATCTTTGGGGTGTGTAAATAAGAAGTGGAGCTACACGGTGATGTGAAAAACGTTAACTGTTGACAATAACAAAAATTGTTTGGTTCAATTTAAATTTTCTACAAATTGAATCAAACGAGGCCTCCTGTTAACATGTTATTTTTCACTCAAAGACTCGACCTAACACCACAATGGGCATAAATAAGCTATAAAGTCAAAAGAAGCAAATCCGTCATGTCTTCTTCTTTATAGAAGTGATGACTTATTACTCGTTAAGCCATATTTTAATAGCCAGCAAATGAGATATCATATTAACATGTTTTTTTCCACTCAAAAACTCGTCCTCATTATCTCTTTGCCCTCTACTTTTGACATCATCACCTATCAGACTTCACATGGCATCAGCTCAATTAATAACCATTTTATGCCATTTACAACATCTGCAATTGCTGCATACAACTAATTTAATTGCACACGCACCATGTACATGTTGATAGTCTAAGGGGCTGTTTAGTAGCGGGATTTTAGAAGGATTTAAGCAGGATTTAACCTTGACCATTCCAAACGGCAAAGATTACAACTTTAAATCCTACAGACTTCAAAATCCTGTTTTTCCTCCGTTTTGTAAATCCGGTTGGAACACGGATTTACGGGATTTAGAGGAGCTAAAAAGCGCGAATGCGGGTGGGAGAAAGGGAAACAAATACGAGGGTTACCTTCTTCAATGGTTTCGGGTAGGAGATGAGCGGAAGGAGGAGAAAGATGAGAGTTTCGAAGGTCTTTGTACGCTGCAATCCTGCCGTTTCCTTCTCAGCTAACTCTAGTCGCGCCTGTATCGTTAGGGTTTTGGCCCCGATGTGGCGAAGGGAAAGGTAGGCCTGGTTTCGAGCAAAACCGAAGGGCCGGAGAGGAGAAAAGGATAGATAAGTTTAGGGCTTTGCTTCAATTGCTATATAT